GTGAGCAGGCCGGTGGCCGGCCGGGTCACGGGAAGCCCAGAGCTCGGGCGAACGGGAGGCAGGCGGGGGGTGGGGTTGGGCAGGGAATAACGTGTCTGGGACCGGTCCGGGTCGGGCCGGGGACGGGCCTGCCATCGCCACAGGGGGCCCGGGCGGGTTGATTCCGGCGTCATGGGTACCTAGTGCTGTTGTAGAGAAGGTAGCTCGCTTTTCTTTTCATCACGACCCTCGCGTGGGGCGAAGGAAATGGTCGAGCATGGCTGGGGCCGCGCGCCGACCTCGAGCAGGGTACTGCCCTGCGTTGGTTCCTCTTAAGCTCTCCTCCGTACCCTCCCCACTCATTGCAGGAGCTGGAGGCGATCAAAGCTCGAGTCAGGGAGATGGAGGAAGAAGCTGAGAAGCTAAAGGAGTTACAGAACGAAGTAGAGAAGCAGATGAATATGAGTCCACCTCCAGGCAATGGTGAGTAACGGCGGTTGCACGCGGAACCCGGTCCTTGTGTGGTGAGGGTTGTGGGGAGCACGGGGAATGTGGGATTAGATGCTTGGGACCCTGGAGCTGCTTGTTTTAGCAGTTATTGGGCAGATGCCGCGGGCATAGTCCATTGTGCGTTTCTCTTGACTTTGGTGAGAGGGAACCTATGGTTTTTGATAGTGGTAGTCTTGTGCCTCCCTTTGTCTCTGTTATAAATGAGTTGCTCTTTGTTCTTAGTATCTCTACTCTGTGAAGTTTACCAGCTGGCATTTGACCTGCAAGTCTAATAGTTTTTCCTTAAATTGAAGACCTTTTAGTTAGGATTCCTAAGAGAAATTGCTCGGCTGCAAAGGGCTTTCCCTGTAATCTAGCAATGGCGAGTCTCCCCCACTTAATTTTGCTCACTCAAGGTGCTTCAAGCAAAGCTATTCAGTGGGGACTTGTTTCGAGGCGGAGGGATTCCTGTATGTTGTTTATGATTTTTTAAAGATATATTGATATATTCCTTGATTTATCAAATATTTATGACCATCTGCTATGTGCTTGGGTAATGGGTACAACAGGGAACAGAACAGACTAAAATCTTTGTCTTCACTGAGTTTATAGTATAGTGCTGGTGGCAGAAGTGCATATATTGGTCAAGTAGAAAACAAGTGTTTTTGTTTTTAAATCTTTTTTCCTTACAGCTGGCCCAGTGATCATGTCCATTGAGGAGAAGATGGAGGCTGATGCCCGATCCATCTATGTTGGCAATGTATGTAGTAGGGCTGTGATTAGGGTTGGGAAGTTCCTACTTGCGGGAGTTATTTAATAGTCTTAAAAGGAACATCTGCACAATAGCAGTGGTTTTGGGTGGGGAGGAAGGGTTGGGAGAAGGCTAAAGGTCAGCAAAGGCTCTGGGGTTGGAAAGAAAAGGATTAGTTCCGTAGAGAACCAGATTTGATGTGTCTTAGTGTATGTAGATGACCCAGACTAAAGGCTAGGCAGGGTACTTGTTGAGTCAGGAGATTACCCAGTACCTGTGAAATGTCCCCCCCCTTTCTTCAGGTGGACTATGGTGCAACGGCAGAAGAGCTGGAAGCTCACTTTCATGGCTGTGGTTCAGTCAATCGTGTTACTATACTCTGTGACAAATTCAGTGGCCATCCCAAAGGGTAAGTAGAATAGTAAGTTGAGATCATTTTGATCACAGCTTTAAAATAGGTAAGTTATGTTTTATATGGAATAGTAAGTCACTCACTGTTAGAACAAGTGGCCTTTATCTTCCAAGATAATGGCATTAATGTTGGTATTACATATCAAGGATTTCATGTAAGTGTTTTCAGGGGTCAGACATAACAAAAATGAAGGCTAGGTGTTGGGGGGATCATGAGCTAGAAGGGAAGTGGCAGCTTCTAGTTGGCCCCGGATGGTTATGGCCACATGAGTAGCTGGGAATTATGATTAAAATCTTTCATTTAAACTTTTTTGACAAATAATTTAAAATGTGAACATCTTGCACCCAAACAAAGCATGCCTGCGAGTTGGGTTTGACTTACGAGCTATTTGCAACCTCAGATAAATAAAGTGACAATTATTCTTTTCAGATTTGCATATATAGAGTTCTCAGACAAAGAGTCAGTGAGGACTTCCCTGGCCTTAGATGAGTCCCTATTTAGAGGAAGACAAATCAAGGTAAGCCCTGTGCCCGTTGCTGTTCTGGTTCTGTGTAAATTCTCCAGGTTGGTTCTAAGGCTTTGAGCTGTACATCCCTTACTCAGGTGATCCCAAAACGAACCAACAGACCAGGCATCAGCACAACAGACCGGGGTTTCCCACGAGCCCGCTACCGTGCCAGGACCACCAACTACAACAGTTCGCGTTCTCGATTCTACAGTGGTTTTAACAGCAGGCCCCGGGGTCGCGTCTACAGGTCAGGATAGATGGGCTGCTCCTCTCCCCAGCCTCCCATGAGCCCTGTATGCTTCCTTCTCTCCTGAGGAACCTCCCTCCCTTCCCTTCCCCTTGGTCTCCAGGGACTTGGTCTCCTGCCTGTGCAGGGTGAGGAAGGTAGTTGCAGGCCAGGCCAGGAGGCCAGTCTCATCATTTCTGGAGCAGGAATTGGTGATAAGGGCTGGATCTCTATTTCTGTTCTGAGAGATGCTTCCTCCTCCAGCCTTTTTTTCTTGGGAGTTGGTGGCAGTGTAGGTGTTTACAGAAAAAGCCAGGAAGAACTGGGCTTCAGGGCAGTGAAAGCACTGCTTTGACATTCTCTACTTTTCCCAGAGTTAGGGAGGGGTTGAAGTTTGAACCTCCCTTGGAAGTGTACCAGAGGCTAGTTGATCCTATAGCCATGTGGGAGGATTTTGAGATATTTATTTACTCTTTATTTGAGCCAGTCTTTTTCTTTCTTTTTTTTTTTTTTTAAAAAGATGACTGGTAAGGGGATCTTAACCCTTGACTTGGGGTTGTACACACCACGCTCAGCCAGTGAGCGAACCGGCCATCCCTATGTGGGATCCGAACCCGGGGCCTTGGTGTTATCAGCACCACACTCTACCAAGTGAGCCGCGGGCCGGCCCGAGCCAGTCTTTTTCTTTCTTTTTTTTTTTTTTAAAAAGATGACTGGTAAGGGGATCTTAACCCTTGACTTGGGGTTGTACACACCACGCTCAGCCAGTGAGCGAACCGGCCATCCCTATGTGGGATCCGAACCCGGGGCCTTGGTGTTATCAGCACCACACTCTACCAAGTGAGCCGCGGGCCGGCCCGAGCCAGTCTTTTTCTTTCTTTTTTTTTTTTTTAAAAAGATGACTGGTAAGGGGATCTTAACCCTTGACTTGGGGTTGTACACACCACGCTCAGCCAGTGAGCGAACCGGCCATCCCTATGTGGGATCCGAACCCGGGGCCTTGGTGTTATCAGCACCACACTCTACCAAGTGAGCCACGGGCCGGCCCGAGCCAGTCTTTTTCAAGGTTAACTTTCTCAGTGGGCTTATTGTGCCCATGTATTATTTTGCTTTCCCTCTATCTCTTTACATTTAAATAGACAAGTTAGGCATATAAAGCTTGGCTTTTCATAAGATGTACCTGTCTGCTCCCAGGAGTTAGGGAGAATCTATTGGTTAGGGCCTAGGGTTTAAGAGCTGTGGAGAACTAAAAAATGGATCAACAGTGGGTCCTTTTTCTTGCTTCTGTATCTCAGATGCACTACTTTATGGCCACTGTTTGGCAAAGTATTCTGTTAAACTCCCCACCCCATCCCCCACTTGCCAGGTGTGTGGCTGTTTCTGGGATTTTAGGGTCAGTTTTAGGACATTTGAAAACTTCTTTTCCCCCCTTCCCTTCACAGTAACTGGGGCAAGGGCCCGGGGGAGGGGCTTGTACTGAACTATCTAGTGATCATGTTAACACCTAACTCTCCTTCTTTCTTCCAGGGGCCGGGCTAGAGCGACATCATGGTATTCCCCTTACTAAAAAAAGTGTGTATTAGGAGGAGAGAGAGGAAAAAAAGAGAAAAGAAGGAAAAAAAAAAAAGAATTAAAAAAAAAAAAAAAGAAAAACAGAAGATGACCTTGATGGAAAAAAAAAATATTTTTAAAAAAAAAAAAGATACACTGTGGAAGGGGGGAGAATCCTATAACTAACTGCTGAGGAGGGACCTGCTTTGGGGAGTAGGGGAAGGCCCAGGGAGTGGGGCAGGGGGCTGCTCTTTCACTCTGGGGATTCGCCATGGACACGTCTCAACTGCGCAAGCTGCTCCCCATGTTTCCCTGCCCCACTTCACCCCTTTGGGGGCTGCTCAAGTGTAGGTGGGCGTGGGTGGTTAAGAGGGTTTTTTTTTACCCAGGGCTCTGGAAGGACACCAAACTGTTCTGCTTGTTACCTTCCCTCCATCTTCTCCCTGCCTTTCACAGTCCCCTCCTGCCTGCTCCTGTCCTGCCAGGTCTACCACCACCCCACCCCTCTTTTCCGGCTCCCTGCCCCTCCAGATTGCCTGGTGATCTATTTTGTTTCCTTTTGTGTTTCTTTTTCTGTTTTGAGTGTCTTTCTTTGCAGGTTTCTGTAGCCGGAAGATCTCCGTTCCGCTCCCAGCGGCTCCAGTGTAAATTCCCCTTCCCCCTGGGGAAATGCACTACCTTGTTTTGGGGGGTTTTGGGTGTTTTTTTGTTTTTCAGTTTTTTGTTTTGTTTTTTTTCCTTTGCCTTTTTTTTCCCTTTTATTTGGAGGGAATGGGAGGAAGTGGGAACAGGGAGGTGGGAGGTGGATTTTGTTTATTTTTTTTAGCTCATTTCCAGGGGGTGGGAGGTTTTTTTTGATATGTGTCATAAATAAAGTTGTTTTTGAAAATAAAAATTGTTTGGCCTTTTGGGTATAAAGATTATTTACCTACTTATTCTCTTAGGTTGCATATGGCTATTCTACTTCATGGAAGTACTGGTGTTGTGGAGGGGAAGTTCCTACTTGTGAAGGAATTAGGAGTTAAATTACAACTAGCAGGAACATTATGTGTTTAGTTGAGGATGATGGGTTTTCCAAATAGTGTGTAACACTGTCCACACCAGCAGCCCTACCTCAAGGTGGGTTCAAGAAATGCAAAAACTAAACAATTAACAAAGACCATTGCAAAGCTTATCTTTCCTCCAGCCATGCAGTGACTACATACATTAAACTTTGGGTCGTTCATTAATTAGGACTTAACTTGCTTTCATTGTTTTCCTATCTTCTTGTATAGTTCCTTGACCATCTTAATAACATAATTTTTCCATTTTATATTCTTATGTCAGATTGGTCTTAAAATCCTTGAGCACTACATTGTTCCCCAGTTTAAGCCTTCGTAGACTCTGTTACCTGCAAAATTTCTAGTATTCCAACCTCTGTGTGCTCTTACTTGCTATTCACTTCTTTTCCCAGGTTGTTTTATTCATGACTGTCTCTGACCTGGATGCTCTTTTCTTCAAAAGTCTAAGGTTTTGTTTTGTTTTTAAAAAGATGACCGGTAAGGGGATCTTAACCCTTGACTTGGTGTTGTCAGCACCACGCTCACCCAGTGAGCAAACCGGCCATCCGTATATGGGATCCGAACCTGTGGCCTTGGTGTTATCAGCACCGCACTCTCCCGAGTGAGCCATGGGCTGGCCCCAAAAGTCTAAGGTTAAAGAAACGACTCTGGGAACCCTTTCTGTATCTGGGAGGCCTTAACCTACCTCTCAAGTCTGTATTTTAAATTCTCTGGTCAGTTGACCACCGCTTATTTTAGTATTTGATCATTTTTTGTACTACCTCCTATTATGTGATAATTTAGGCATTTGAAGTCTATCTTTTCTCCTAACTAGATTCATGTAGTTAATAGTGCCTGGCCTCAGTGTGGAGACTTATGCAAATGTTGGATAAAGTGTTCAATATGAACTTTTTGCTGGAAGAATGTGAAACATCTTAAGTGGCTTGACATTACTAAAGCGGAGAAGGTCTCATCTATCCACCAGGGGGCACCAAATGGCTGGCTCAAAAAGATCTCTGTAAACTTGGACAGTGGAGGGTGAATGTGGGTTTTTGACCCTTCTTGGTTTTAATTTTCTGTTTGGTCAGTTCTACTCTTGCCCATTCTCTTCATTCCTACTTACACTGCTTGAGCAACTTCCTGTTGTCATTGCAGTGGGCTCCTGGCAGATGTCTGGCTCTAATCGTTGCCAAAAGGGCCCCTATGATGCCACCAGTAAGTACAAAGCACAAACTAGACTATGGAACTAAGGCCTTTCCCAATTTGATCTTGATTATATATCCCTGCCAAATGCTGCACTACAACTGGTGCAGTGTATGTTTCAGTTGAATTACCTTATTTTTATGTATGGCTCATGTCATTCCCTCCATCCTAGTGCTATAACTTCTCTATCAAAATTATGCCCATACGGGCCGGCCCGGTGGCTCACTCGGGAGAGTGCGGTGCTGATAACACCAAGGCCCCGGGTTCGGATCCCATATAGGGATGGCCGGTTCGCTCACTGGCTGGGCGTGGTGCTGACAACACCAAGTCAAGGGTTAAGATCCCCTTACCGGTCATCTTTTTAAAAAAAAAAAAAAAAAAAAATTATGCCCATACTTCAAAGTGTAAGCCAGCTACCACAGCCAGAAAGCTTTTCTTGATTCCCTAGTCAGAATTAATCACTCATGCAGTCAGGACAAATTGTTCCTATCTCTATTTAGCACTTTGTGGTTTTATAATTAAAATAATTGCATTCCTGTTTCTCCTTGAGGGCAAGGATTATGCCTTTGTTTCTAACAGTGCCTGCCACTTAGTAGGTGCTCAAAAGTTGTTAACTTTGGGGTTGCCTTTCCTGTCCTGGAGAAGGCAGTTAACAGTAGCATTCCTTTTATCTCAGACCTGCAAGTTACTGTCCTTAAAGGAGTCAGACTTCCTACTTTACCTGGTCTCTTCCTTTTTCCTGTATCCTCAGTGGTTTTAGAGGAAGAAGCTTGAAAAGAGTTGCTTTCTTTGGGCAAGCTTGGTTATTTTTGGCAGATGATTTGTATCAGTCATGTTAACTGAGGGATAGTAATGACTCCAGTCTCACTGGAGTTCTGTGAGAAGAAAGTGTCTTTAAGGAAGAGAGATTGGGGAAGCCTGTCTACAAGATTTATCTGGGATGAGGATCTGTGAGTGAGAAATCCTTAGAGGGACTTTGAGTGATGCAAAATAAACCAAGACAACCCAGTGCTTTCTTAGACAGTATTTGCCCAACTTGACATTGGCAATTGTAGTGGATTGAATTATGTCCCCCCCAAACTCAATGAAGCTTGAATTGTGTCCCCCAAGTTTTATGTGTTATAAACTTAGCCCCCACTGTGACTGTTAAGAGGGTGGGAAATCCTATTATGGTAATTGAAAGGTGGAGCCCTGAAGGGGTGATTAGATTGTAGGACCATGCAGTAGTGAATGGATT